AAAAAAGCTTAATAGATAAAAGAACTATACATTGTGAATTCAATCATTCAATGCCCACTATGAGAGTGTAATTATTTTAGTGCGTGTGGTTGTATTAAGGTGGCCATAATTGACTTGAATCAACAATACTTAGCTACCTTTTCTTCGAGTTTTAAATTTTATTATACTGGTTTTATATATATATATATATATATATATATTATATATATATATATTATATATATTATAATATATATATTTATATATATATATATATATATAAAAATGAGGTTCAATAAAGAACCATAATTAACCAATACACTAATTTTTTTTTTCAACTTTTAGAACTTATTTAAAAAAAAAAGAAAAAAAAAATACAGAAATTCATAACTTTTTATCATTTTTCCAATTATATCAAATTCGAGAAAAAAAATTCGTCAAATTAACAATGTGAATCTTTGAAAAGTCACACGGTGAATCCGAATAAGTTCTAGAACTTGAAAAAAATTGGTTCATTAGAGAACCAATAATTATGGTTCTCTATTGAACTTATATATATATATATATATATATATATATATATATATATATATATATATATATATATATATATATATACCCTTAAGGGTATATAAGCATAGGTACCCAAACTCACTATACTATGTCGTTTTGTATCATATAATACATCCTAATTGTCCAATATTCTTATAATTTCATTTCTAACTTGATTTACTTCCATGATTTTTTTATAAATTACACATTTATCTTCCTCTTAAATAATTTTCATTTTCAACTACAATATGTATAGTCTAGTAGGTGTTCGATAAAAAGATGCGATATAAAGAAAGATAATAGTGAAATTTCGAAAATTTTGAAAGTAAATCAAGTTAGGGGTTGAAGTTTAAAAACATTATAATGAATATATTCAACAAAGCGATATATTGTGGTGTTTTTGGGTACCTAAGTTTATATACCCTTAAGGTATATTCACTTTTTCATATATATATATATATATATATATATATATATATATATATATATATATATATATATATATATATTCTTTGTTCATGTGTCACAAAATGTTATTTTACTTTGATAATTTGATAAAGATCTAAAACAATTTTAATTTATATTACTTTACAATAATAAAAAAGTTAATGGTATATATTGAGTGATAGGTGCTAAAGGATTATATTATTTATTTCGTATTTCGTATTTGAAACATATTGTGATAATAACATCTACCAACATACACCGGAGATATTGAATACATGATATAATTCGTACATGTTTGTTACTTTAATAATATAGTTTAGATATTATTTAGAATAGAATTAAACAACTATTTTTTGTACTGCTCGTTCTTGAATTTGTGACCACTTGTGTGTGGCACACCCTTTGCTTTGCCCAATTTTATGGACTATTTAATTAATATAAAACTAAAATAAATAATAAAAAGTAATTTATAACTGCAACGTCGTTGAGTGGAGATTCTTAATACAATGACTTTTTTATTTATCTATCTTTTGGGAATCATAATACCAGCAAAATACACTCACGTGGGAAGTTCCTTTTTTTTTTTTTTTTTTTTTTTTTTTTAAATTATAAATAAAAATAAATTAATTTTCATTTATCTTTTCATTTTGTCTAAAATGAATATTTAAACATAGATACATTTATCAAAAATTAACATATATAATCAAAGGAAAACTGAAATAAAATTCTTAAGAATTGGTCTCATAATTGATTTAATTCATATACTTTTTTTTATTCAATTAAATCTCAAAAATCGATAATCGTATTCAATTTAGCCTTTTTACCGGTCAACATGTCATCCAACTTTTAAAAATTATATGTTGACCTAGATTTCAAATTTTATTACAAATTTGATCTAAAATTTACACTTTTGGTCCATATTCTAAATTTTATTACAAATTTGTTCCAAAATTTACTTTTTGCCCAAGTTTTAGAATTATGTTATAAATTCATCATAACTTTAGTGTTTTTACAACTTTTTTCTCAAAAAAAAAAAAAAATCGAATATGTTTTTTCTTTATATTATCATATTTATACAAAAAAACATATTTTCCCATAAAAAAATCTTATATTTTCTATACAAAACTTTTTTTTTAGTTTTTTTGTAACTGAAACCGAGGGCGTCGGGACAACTTATGGTGCTTGAAAGTATGTGAGAGTGAGTGGAAGTTTGAGAATGTGTGCCAAAATCCATAGCTTATGCCATCTATTTATAGTGCTGGAAATGAGCGTACGTTGGGCGTACCACCGGAGTACGCTGGGCGTACTTCGGTTACGCTGGGCGTAACTTTGCATCACGGCTTACGACTCGAGTCTAGCTAGGCGTAGAGCTGCAACCGATGGGACTCGACCCTGCACCTAGTACGCTGGGCGTACCCCTATATTACGTTGGGCGTAATCCCGGCTCCCGCCTTCTAAATTCCGTAAGTTTCACGTACGGGATCCGTATTTCGCGTTCTTTATATCCACGCGTAGGTGAGATTATGCTCTACAACTTTCGTTTAGACTCCGTCGGCTGGTTTTGACTTTATTTTTATTGAAATGTTTTTAATAGCCCGGGACTGCAAAAGTTCGTTAAAAATTCATAGTTTCTTTATTCGATGTCGGTTTTCGTTTGTCTTTTTATCATTTTACTCCTATTGTGGAGACCTTCAACTTTCGTTTAGGTTGTGTTATCTAAATAACGCTCGATCTTCAATTCGAGTTTTTAGCCCTTTACTACTGTTACGAAACTTAGAAAATGCGTAACTTCTTCATACGAGGTCCAATTTGGGAGATCTTTTTATGTACGTTTTCAGTTTAACTAACTCTAGAACTTTTGTTTAGATACTTAAGGTTAAAAATGCATTTTATTGTAATTTCACTTTTTACATTTAAATAACGTTTTAACAGTGTGTCGTAAATATTCGAGTGGTTATAATTTCTTCAATATAACTCGGTTTTGAATGTTCTTTATGTTTTTGGAAACCTTGGCACGATATCTAACATTTGATGCATCCCAATTTAGATGTTTGAATAGTTTATTTTTGAGGTAAATTTCGTTGAATCCAAATAGTCTTCGTTGTATTTGACTTTTGAGTGTTACACTGCTTTTGGAAAATATAGGGTTGTCACAGATACCCCTTGCATCCCTTTGAAATTATGTAATAAAATCCATGGAGATATGTTCCCACTTTCATACGGGAACCTATAGAGGCTGCAACTGGCCATGAGGGCGCTGGTGCTCTGCCTTGACCTTGTGATAGGTCAAACATCTCTCAACAACCCATTCCACACCTCTCTTCATATAGGGCCACCAATAATTGTTTTCCAAAACCAAATACATCTTAGTGGCCCCAGGATGGATTGAAAACCTCGAATTATGGGCCTCCTCCATCAAAATCTGTCAGGCTCCCATCCAAATATGGCACCCATATCCGCCCATGAAAGGTCATAAGCCCCCGACTATCCGTCTCAAACTCAGATTTCTGTCCGATCACCCGCTCTCTCTTGCAGTTCTCTGGTCTCAAGGCCATTACTTGGGCCTCTCGAATGGCATCTAAGACTGGAGTCATCACTGTCATCCACATACATACATCTAGAATCGGATCACTCGCTGCTCTACGAGTCAGGGCCTCAGCTACCATGTTAGCTTTTCGTGGATGATACAAGATCTCACAATCGTAGTCCTTCACTACATCAAACCACCTCCTATGTATCATATTCAGGTTGGGCTGATCCATAAGGTACCTCAGGCTCTTATGGTCTGTGTATATGGTACATCGAACACCATAGAGATAGTGGCGCCAAATCTTGAGGGCGAATACCACCGCCCCCCAACTCCAGATCATGGGTGGGATATCTCGTCTCGTGAGGCTTCAGCTGCGTCGACGCATATGCTATCACGTGCCCCCTCTGCATCAACACAACACCCAATCCCACTATGGATGCATCACAATAGATTACGAAGTCCTCCACTCCTTCCGAGAGGGATAACACTGGAGCCTCGCACAACCTCTGGCGAAGAGTCTCGAATGATGCCTGCTGCTCAGGCCCCCAAGCAAAAACAACACCCTTTTTGGTCAATTTGGTGAGAGGGACAACAATCTTGTAGAAATCCAAAATAAATCTCTGATAATAACCTGCCGGGCCAAGAAATCTTCTGAACTCGAATGGGGATCTCGGTACTTCCCACTGCATAAATGCCTTAATCTTGGCCGGGTCGAACAAAATCATGTTCTAGTTAACGAGGTGCCCCATGAACTGGACCTATCGTAACCAGAAATCATACTTGGAGAATTTTGCGTAAACCTCTCCCTCTTTAACACCCCAAGAATCTCCCGAAGACGCTCCCCGTGCTGTTACCTAGACTTCGAGTATACCAAAATATCGTCAATGATCACGATCACCGACTGGTCCAACATGGGCCTACACAGTACAAACTCGGTTCATGAGGTCCATGATTGCTGCCGGTGTGTTGGTGAGCCCGAAAGGCATCACCATGGACTCATAATGCCCATAACGAGTCCGAAAGGTCGTCTTCTGAATATCCTCCTCGCGGACCCTCATCTAATGATATTCATATCTCAAATCAATCTTGGAAAACCAAGATGCTCCCTGCAACTTATCAAATAAGTCATCGATACTCGATAATGGATAGCGGTTCTTCACTGTCAACTTGTTCAACTCCCGATAATCGATGCACATCCGGTGTGAAACATCCTTCTTCATGAAAAAAGGATCGGCGCTCCCCACAACGAACTACTCAGCCGAATGAATCTCTTCCCCAACAACTCCTGAAGTTGCAAGGATAAATCTTGCATCTCGGGCAGCGCAAGACGATATGGTGCCTTGGCAATAGGCACCACCCCCAGAACCAGATCGATCCGAAACTCCACCTGCCACTCAGGAGGCACACCCGACAAATCCT